CTACATAGCACTTTAATTCTTATTGTTTGCACTGAAGCACCGCAGCAATTTCCTAATGTTGTAAACCTCAACATCTGGCAATAAACCCCATTCTGATTCTGATTCTGATTCTGATTCTGATACATTGACGAGAAGTGGAACAAGAATCCATAAGTGAACAAGGGATGAGAATGGGGACCTGTTGGAATGGAAAGTAATTCCAGCTCAAAGGGTTACATGAAGTGGATGTGGATCCTATGGACACCCATTCTTTGACACCCAACATTTGGACCAATGGCAAAACAACTGGTAGTTTAGTGTTCCTTAGAGATTGATGATGTACAACACAAGTGCTACGGCAAGGGGGTGCCATCAGGTCATCATCATCCCCACCCTCCTAGATTGGGTGACATTCTTGAGCTGCTTGGCTACAACTTGAACAGCCAAAATCAAGATAGCACAGAAGTTAGTGGCAGAAAGTTGTGATTAAGAAATGGGTGACTAAGAAGCACAGAAAGCTGTCCATACCTGAGGCCTTGGGAACTGCTAAGCAAAGACTCACAGCTACCCATTTGAAGAGGTATATGAGAACGTTGGAAGCCAGGAGAATAAACCAACTGTTCTCCACTGATGTGTAGTGTCAATGGCAGGAAAACAATTTGAGAGCAGCCCCACCAAAGTTGGAGACTGAGGAATACTAGAAGACCATATGGGAGAAGACTCAAGTTATAACAACAATGTTCAATGGCTAGTGGATCTAAGAGCAGACCATATCAATCTCCCTGAACAGGATCCAGTAACCATCACAGTGGGAGACATCCAAGAAAGAGTCTCAAGTATGAAGAGATGGACAGTACCAGCCCTTGACATGACGCTAACAGCATTCCACATGTGTCTAGCAGCACAAATATACCTGCTGCTAATGGATGAGACACACCCAGAATGGCTAACTGATAGCCCTAATCCTCAAGGATTATCAGGAGGGAAAAGTCCCATCCTGCCTCAGCTCCTGTACTAGAATTATATAAGATCAACAGGAACCTTAGGCCACCTTCAAGCAAATTACACCACAAAGTGAGAGATTTACCAAAGAGATGCTTTGTCCTTACTGCTGTTATGCATAGGCCTGAACCACCTCAGCCAGATCGTTGACAAGAGAGGCTACGGATACCGACTACAGAATGGAGCAATTGTTAGCCACCTCCTCTCTTTGGATGACATCAAGCTGAATGCCAGGACTGGAGAAGACATCGACTGATTCATACCACTAGGATGTAGAGCAGCGACATCAGAATGTCATTCAGATTAGAGAAGTGTAGTCGGATAGTAACAAAGAGAGGGAAGGTAGTCAGAAGTGAGGAGATTACATTACCAGATAGTAAGGACAGTCACAAGTACCTGGGGCACCACAGGCAAATTGGAACCGTGAAGAGGTCTCTAGGAAAGCTGCAACCACCAAATACCTGCAGAGGGTCAGGCAAGTCCTGAGGAGTCAGCTGAATGTAAGTAAGAAGTTAAGGAAGTCCAGACGCTTTTCTTTCCAAGCTCCTTAGACTACGATGACCTGGAGGACTGAGAACCTTCACAGACACAAGAGGAAAAAGAACAGTAGCCATCATGGAAAAACAGCACAGAGGCACTAATCATGGCAGCACAGGAATAACCTCTGAGCACACTGACAACACCAGGCAAGACCCCAGGTGGAGGCTATGTAAAGATACCCCTGAGACAATCCAGCACATAACAGCAGGGTATGAGATGCAAAGGGAGTGCATACATGGAACGCCATAACCAAGTCGCTGGTATAGCATATAGGAACATCTGTGTCGAGTATGGCCTGGGCGTCCCGAGGTTGAATTGGGATATGCCCCCTAGAGTGGTTGAGAATGACTGAGCTGAGATCCTGTGGGACGTCCAGAGACAGACAAAAGGGTGACAGCTATCCAACGGGACACAGTAGTTGTTAATACATTTAGCTATACTGAGTCATAGCAACATTAGGGAGGAACATGAGAAGCTGAGAGACGAGCTGGAGAAGATGTGGAGGGTGAAGGTAACAGTGGTCCCAGTGGTAATCAGAGCATTAGGTGCAGGGACCCCCAAGCTAGGTGAGTGGCTCCAGCAGATCCAGGAACAACATCTGAGATCTCTGTCCAGAAAAGCATAGCCCTAGGAACAACAAAATAAAGCAAAACAATGCTCCCTCACCCTGCTCACTGCTCAGTTAACACACAATGACACACCTGAGTATTTACTCAGGCTACAATAACTTTGGACACTTGATTCAGTAAAAGCACTGCGCACATCATGTTCTTTCCTCCCCACACTCTCATAACCTGTATATATTTCTTAATTTCAAATGTGTATTCTATATCTGTATTTAGTTATTGTACAGGGTGGGCATTTATATGGATACAGCGTAATAACATGGGAATGGTTGGTGATATTAAAGTCCTGTTTGTGGCACATTAGTA